GAGAAAATAACTTCTAACCAACTAACCTATGCTGTCCAAATGAGTCAGCGTGATGCAGGACATTGTGATGCGTCTAGAATAATAAAAGGTATTAGCTGTTCACCGGAAAAGATTAAAAAGTATTAAGAAAACTTAAACTTCATTAAGAATGTTATAAAAAAACACACACCATCAGAAGCATAATTAATATTTGTGGAAGAAAAAGCAGATAGAAAAACTGCAATCCTTATAACAAAATTTAACCTTTACAAACAATAAAACGTCAGTGTTGGCTCGAAGTTTTAATTTATTTTTTTAAATTTAAAAATTAAATAATAAAACAAAACAAAAAAAGGTAATAGCATTACAGAAATATTAATAAAATAAAAGTCAACATAATAAAATAAGCAAGGTATGAAATGATAGGATTCAATGTATATTTGAATTATATTAATTTAGGACTTCTTAAAACTTTTTTTTCTAAATGAATAAATTTAAAAGTAGTAATAAACAGTTTTATGATAAAGTTTTAGTAACTATTTTAGTGCTAAAAAGTGCATGAAAATTAGTAAGGCTTTATCCATAACCCTAATTTCTTTAAAAAAATATAATATAAGCTCAAAAAAAAAAAAAAAACTGCTAAAAAAAAACGAAGAATAAAGCTAAAAGAAACAAAATATAAACGATTTCAAAAATTAGAAGGGGTTATATTTTTTACTTTTTATCTAATATATATTTATATTAAACGTAATATAATTTTCTAAACTGTTCTATTTTTACCTCTTTAATAATACAATCTTTATATTGCTAATATAAGTTATCTAATATTTATAAACTAATAAATATTGATATGCCAATTTTGTCTCATTAGCTTTTCAATATTGACATTCTTTGTAGTTATACGCGTACGTAACAAAAATTGTTAAGAAAAATACATTGTCTTGATAATTTTTCGTTAATTAAGGGCATTTATTAGATATTTAACTGCAGTAATTACTCTAAGAAATTTTTTTATAGAATTCCGTAGGTTTGAAATTGAAATCTAAAAAAAATAAAAATAAAAGATTATTATAATCATAATTGCGTAACCTTTTGTTTTAGTTTTATTTGTTCAAGCGTTTGCCTTTTTAATTTTTTATAAACCCACAATAAAATATAAAATGACAAGGATTGTTCTCTTTGAAGAGGATAATTATATATGCTTAGTATTTTAATAATTTTTACGCGAAATACCATATTAGTTAACAATGCGCGTGTTGATGTATATACCTGTATATATAAATACACAAATTTACATATATTTACTGGATTTGTTCAAAAATAACTTGCTTAAAACTCCAGGCTTGTTAAATATGATTGTGAAAAAAAATATGCTGACGTTATATTACAGTTTATATATAGCCAATATTGTAAATCAATATTGGCTATACATATCAAAATGTGGACATATTTATATTGGTGCAATATTGTAAGCAATATTTAACCAATATTGATATTTAAAATGTTTATTCAATATTGTTCGATGTTCAATATTGATATTTATTATAGCAATATTTAGCCAATATTGTACCAAAATTGTGCCAATGTTGCTTGCTACTAGGGATGTTGTATGTTTGCAATTTCAAAATTTTTAGTGTTTTCTAATTTATGAATGTTTTTCTAATGGTATAAACAATTAAAAATTAAATTGTTATAAACATATCAAGAAGTTAACAAAATATGAACAAATTGTCAAGTTCTTTTGCCAGAAAACCATTATTTTAAAGGTCGACGGCCGTTGGTTTCTTGACATCTGGAAATTGTTTTTGATGTTTAGAGACTACCTGTAGCAGTGCTGTTTTGTCATTTATCTTTAGTGAGGATTTTATTGTATTCTTAGATGAGGGAAACTCCTTTTTTCTGCTCTGTCATTCACAACACTCAATCCAGAGACAATCTGCAATACTTTAGGTGCCACCAGATAGATGACTCAAGGTTGGATATGTCCCATATAGATTAGTGATAATTCAAGGAGTTCTCTATAGCCATCATGAGGCATGCTCTCCTTCTGCAAACACGATACAACAAATTCATCAGCCTCTTTCATCATCACTTTGTTGTTATTGAAAACTTTTTTACTTGACATACCAGTCACAGTTCTGTCATGAACTATCGAGAGCCATGCTCCATGGAATCATTTAAACAACAAAATATTAGGTTCAGTAGACGGTCCAGCTAAGGAGTTGAATACATCTTCGTGGACGACCTCAAATATGTGATGCCAACATGCTAGATGTAGTATTGTCTTTTCAAGTTTTTGTTGAATTAGAACAGCTGCACTAGCCGAAATTTTTCTAATATACTTACCGCTGAAATGGTTGCAGTTTTATTTCAGATCTATTAAACGAGAAATGTTGTGTGTTTAAATATCAATGTGGGTGGGAACGTTTTGAAATTTACTTTTGATATATCGACGTTGTGAAATTTAATTTTTAATATCGACGTTATTAAACTTAATTTTAATTTATCTAAAACCCGTAAATTTAAAATTTTACTGAAAACACATAAAACAATATAATTCTAGTTTGGCTTGCGGTTAAAAGCGCACTTTTTTTTTTTATTCAATAGGAGTTATTATGATTCTATATAAGTTATACTATGGTAAAAAGAAGTTTTGCAAACGTTTAAATGGTCGCTTGAATAACGATTGCATAAGTGAATCGATCAAAAAACATTTTATTAGGAGTTTTTTTTATCATTTGAATTCATATTATACATAAACTTAAAAAAAACGTAGTAAATTAAATTATTAATTAGTTATAAAATAGTAAAAATAATAGTGAATTAGGAGCAATAATAATAATATCAATATGATAAAATAACATTGCATAGTTAGTAAGTAAAAGACAAAGTTAGCAGAAAGTTAAGTATATAAAAGACTTTTAAATTTTTTTTTTATATTTAAAAAAGTTTTTTTTTTTTAGTTTAATACAATATTAATATTAAATTTTGAGTATCTATACATACATACATACATACATACATACATGCTTACATACATACATACATACATACATACATACATACATACATACATACATACATACATACAAAAATACATACATACATACATACATACATACATACTTATATATATATATATATATATATATATATATATATATATATATATATATATATATATATATATATATATATATATATATATACATATATATATATATATATATATATATATATATATATATATATATATATATATATATATATATATATATATATATATATATATTATATATATATATATATATATATATATATATATATATATATATAAATATTTAATGAGTTCAATTAAAAAGGATGCGTATATATACAGTATGGGGCAAAACTGAACCAGGGTTTTTAAAAAAATACAAAATTATGGTTTATTTTGTTTTCGATATATTAGCGCTGTTGGGATTATTACAGTAGTAAAGTGCTAATTTTTACGACTTTTAACGCGTCCTCCTTCTACCCCATTGCACAAGTATTTTTATCTAGTGACAAACATCTTTTGACTCAGTTTTGCACCATACTTGATGAATCTTTATTATTTTTCTCAAATTAATTTAATATTTTTGTGTGCAAATCAATTGACTATATTTATATATAAAATAATTTTTTATTTTCATAAATTTTATTGTTTAAATTTATTGTTTATTGATAGTTTTTTTAATATAATGGGAATTTCAAAGACAGAGAGTGATTTAATAAAAAGATGATCGAAGAAGGAAATACAACTCGTGAAGTTGCTTCTAAATTAAAAGTTAGTCAAAGTGCTGTGCAACGAATTAGAAAAAATGTGGACATATTCTAAAAAAAAATGTTGGCGGTCGACCAAAGAAGTTGAGTGCGGTAGACAGTAGAAGAGTAATCAGATATTTGACTACTGGAGATGAAAAATCGACATCTCATGCAGCTAAACTGATTTACAATGATTTACAATGCCCAAAAGTGAATTGAGATTACTCGTTTTTGATGCACGTGGAAAGTTGAAACTTAATAAATTTGAGTTTCTAATACCATCTTCTAGTCCTTTATGCAGATAAGAAATTAAATTGGACAACTGCTTTTTTCTTGCAATAATACGCTGTTTTAAAGCACTAAGAAATTTAATGCTCAATGAGCATTAAATTTCTTAACTTCACATAGCCTGTCAAACATAATTGTCAATGCTGCATCCGCAGAAATTAAGCTAGCACCCTTGCAACAAAGTGACTCAACGGCTAATTTTATCGGCAAAAGTGCTGAGATAGTAGAAAAACTGTTTCAAAATCAGTTCTGTAAAGTTTATATTAAGTTTTTAATCTAGAGCTTTTAATCTTTTAAACGCAAGAATTTAATTTGTAAAAACGTCCGAGCATTGCTAATATGCTATTCCATCTAGTTTTGGAATCTGCAATTAGGACGTACTCTTTACGAAATTCGAGCTCTACATAATTTTGTAGTACCTTATTTTTTAGCGGTGAACAGTGAATATTTGCACAATTTTCTTTACTTTTTTAATAAGGGGACCAATTTTACTATGTGTTATTTCTGTATCTTGTTCTTGTATATCGTAATCCATAACTAAACCTTCTTCGTATGTATTTGAATTAATTTCACCATAAAGGCACCATAGTTCAATATAAAATCCAATATAAAAAAAAAAAAATAAAAAAAATAGTTAACTTATTTAAATCAGTACCAGTTATACTGTGTGAAGTACCAGTTATACTGTGTGAAGTACCAGTTATACTGTGCGATGTGACTAAAAAACACTTCAGTTCCTTCCAATTGCACTAAAAATAGCTTTCAGCTCTTTCCAATTGCACTAAAAAATAAAACAAAACTTGTTTAGCTTTATGTTGTCTAGTTCTTAAGAATCTGAAAACTAATAAGTAAAAAACCAAGAACAAACATTTATTAAAACTACTCTACTTCTACAAATACTACTTCTACTAAGTTAGTCAAAGTACTGTGCAACGATTTAGAAAAAAATGCGGACATATTCCAAAAAAAAAAATGTTGGCGGTCGACCAAAGAAGTTGAGTGCGGTAGACAGTAGAAGAGTAATCAGATATTTGACTACTGGAGTAGAAAAATCGACATCTAATGCAGCTAAACTTTTGCAACGTGATATAGGAAAAAATGTGAGCAGGTGGACAGTGCAGCGAGATCTCATAAAAAGTAAATTTATAGCAATTAAAAGGAAGAAAAAACCATTACTTAGTGAAAAAATTATTAAAGCATGATTAAACTTTGTAAAAAAATATGAAAATTTTACCGAAGATGATTGGAAGAAAGTTATTTGGTCGGATGAAACTAAAATTAATCGGTATACCACTGATTACCGCCAATGGAACTGGAAAAGAGAAGGTGAACCATTAACTCAAAAAGATTTTATTCAGACAGTAAAACATGGGGGAGGCAATATTAAACTATGGGGGTGTATGACGTTAAGAATTGGTTAGCTTCGCAGGACTTTCAAGTGCTAGAATGGCCAGCACAAAGTCCTAATTTAAACCCAATAGAAAATTTGAGGTCACAATTAAAAAAAGCGCTCGTTAATAACTATTCTGACCCTCCATCATCCATTATTGTGTTATATGAACGAGTTCAAGAACAGTAGGAAAATATTTCGTTAAACCTTTGCGAAAATCTTGTAAAAAGCATTAATAGAAGATTAGCAGCAGTTAAAAAAGCAAAAGGATTATGAACAAAATATTAAAAATTGACAAAATTGACAGTTTTTTTCGCGTGGTGCAAAAGTGATTCACCATGTTTTTCATTTATTATTTTGTAAGTAAATATTTTTCTTCAATAAATACTTAAATTATTATTATAAAAATTGTTTTTATAATAATAATTCCTACCAGCAATATTAATTTTCAAAAGGCTAAATTCTTTATAACAAAATAAAAATATTATTATGCATTTTGGTTCAGATTTGCACCATACTGTATATATATATATATATATATATATATATATATATATATATATATATATATATATATATATATATATATATATATATATATATACATATAAGGTTGAGAAGGCCTGAAGGTATATATATATATATATATATATATATATATATATATATATATATATATATATATATATATATATATATATATATACATATATATATATATATATATATACAGGGCCGCCGAGAGGGGGGAAGCACCAGGACAGTTTGTCCCGGGCGGCAGATGTCCATGGGGCGCCAGATGCCGAAGTAAAATAAAATAGTTTTTTTATTCTTAAAATTCTATAATTAAAATGCATATATTACTCGCGTTATATCATTTTTTTTATTCCTCGAAAAGTTTTAAAAAAATACGAACTCATCATTGATTTCGTATTCTATACGCTATTAAATTAAATATGTCCCTTGAGATTTTTGCATTCATCAGACTAAAGTAAAAAAACGCAAACGTTGATAATTAGCAATAGCAAACTGTGAATACAATTTAGAAATAATTTTATTCAGAATTTAGAAAGTAATAGTAATTATTTTTCAACTATTCGTTATGATCAACTTATTTATGATATTCCATGTTTAGATTTATTTATATTTAACTATTGAAATATTGATTTATGACATTAGCTTTTTGAGTTTATTATTTTTTGATGAGTTTGCGTATTTGACTTGGCTATTATTTTATTGATGCGTACTGTTATTTACAGTAGGGCAAAGTGCCCTAATAATGGCCGGGTCTTATTAAGAGTCAAATTTGGGTCTGCTTTGATTGCATTTATTTATTTGACGGAACATTTATCTAGTTGTTGATTATACTTTTCCATTTCTTTAATCTATCTAATTTTTTTATATCTATTATCAATTATTATTTATTATTTTTATTATTTATATAACTATTATTTATATTATTTATATAACTATTATTTATATCTATTCAGGATTGCCACCATTATTTAGGAACAAAATTCCCTGATTTTCCCTGATTTTTTTGGCAAAATTTTGCTTTTTGCTCCCTGATTTTCCCTGATTTTTCGCTAAAATTTTGCTTTTTTCTCCCTGATTTTTCCCCTTGAATTTTGCTTATTTCCACCTGATATTTCCAGCATTCAAATGCCCAAACTTAGTTTTTAAACTTCTACAATAACCCCAGAGTATTTTTACCTCTAAAAAAAACAGATACTATAATCCCCCAATGAATAATGAACCAATCAATTTACTTGAAAATTAAAATAAATAATCAAATACTTCAATCAACATATGAAATTTTTCTTTGAACCAGGGTATATTTAAAACGGATATGTTCAATAGGCATTGAAAACCTGTCAGACTTATTTAGGGTACAAGATAATGAAATTCAAAAAAATGCAATGAATGTAATAAATTTCTAATTGTATGTTTTACATACATCTTTTAATACTTTTTGCTTTTCTCTAAGTCCCAATATTTCTTGATCTAATAGCATTATCACGCTATTTTCTTCTGCTTGGAGTTTTCGATTTTCCTCCTAATAGTTTTTATATTGTAATGATGCACTACAAACAGCATTTATCATTTCATTGTTTATTTATATTTTGTTAGCCTTCAATTTGTTCAATTTGACTCCATATAATCCTTGATAGTGCGATGAGATATAAGTGACATTCCTTTTATTTTTTCACTGAGCATATTACTGGTAATACTGAAACCTCTCTCAATTGATGCTTGCCCAAAATAAATATCAAAACTTTTGACAAAATCTTATAATCTACACTAACTTTAATGGTTTCAAAATGAAACTTGTTTAAACAATTTCCAGTGTAAAAATATTTGAATACAAGTAAAAGAATAGATGAACTTTCCTCTAACAACTTCAAAAATTTTATGAAAGCTTGATCACATTCATTTGAAGTAATATGTGAGCAAGAAAGAACTAGATGTAGTACAGATTTCATCTGATGAAGATCAGCTTCTTGTTGAGAAAAATTTGACACTGGACTGATGCAACCAGTTGCTTTCAGAAAAAAAATTCGATTCAAACTTCTTTCAAATATTTTTTCCAGAATTCCAATGATAATGAGACGTAATCTTTTAAATAATGATAATGCATCTTTTTTTCTCAATTCGATTATGTCATGTTCTGCAGCAAATCCAATTGTCATTAATTTTAATAGCAGAAAGTTTTCCTTTTTTGTAAAATCATTTGCCTGCCATTAACGATGCTGCTAAGGATATCTTGTTTTATAATTAAACCCATTAAACATTCAACAGTTGATAACAAATCTTCAAAAAGAAAAGGAATCATTGGGGCATTAGTTTGATATCTCAGTAAGATTTTCTGCAAAAAACTTGCAATGTTACCAAAAAACTACAATTTAGTCAAAGTTAACTCATCTTTTGTTCCCCGAATCAGAGTTGCTAGTCCTTGGCCTTGACCTAGCCTTAAGACCAAAAATTGAGGCCTTGGCCTTAATCTTGGCTTTGAAACTGTTAGCCTTCGACTTGGTCTTGACCTTGAAAATTTTGGTCTTGGCCTATAAAAAAAAAAACGAATTTTCTTATTGGGTGATTGATTTTGTTTAATTCTGCCCATACCCTTAGTCTATTTTTAAAAAATGTGGTTTTATTGTCACACTACTTGCTACTTACAGTTGTGTTAATAATTGGCCTTAACGCAAGGCAAAAGTTAAAGTATTTAGTCTTAAAAATGTTTGTGTAGACGTTGAAACTCTTAATTTTGACCTTGGCCTTAAACTCTTGGCTTTCGTTTTGTCCTTGGCCTTGTAACCTTTGACCTTGATCTTGGACTTGTAACGTGTGGCCTTGGCCTTGGCCTTGATACTTTTGGCCTTGTTAACAACTCTGTCCTGAACACTTGTCATAGCTCTTTCATTTTGGTTGCTTACTTTTAAAAAAAGTCTCCCAATACTTGGTTAGTTTTTTTAACATTTTCCCAAACTAAACAAATTCTATCTGCAACTTTTGATCTACCACCCAATGTTTTGAGCAAAATGCATAAGGAAAACACTCACATTCAGTAACAGTTACAAAATCAGCTCTTCTAGCCAAAGAATCATAAATAAAGGTTGTATGATGCTTTCATTAACTTCTTATTCCATTCAGCAGATTGAAAACCCGATTTGAAACCATGTATTAAATGGAGGTTACAGCTCCCAACGTTAAGAAGTTTAGGTAGCTCTTGTTGATCCTGCTGTATTTCAAGAAGATTAAAAAGGGACCAGTTCACATTTGTACCTTCCATACTTAGTTGAGTCATACTTTGTAAATACTACAGTAAATTCTTTGCTGTAGGGTGACCTAAAAATTTAGAGTCAAAGTATCTGGATTCAACATGATTTAGATGGCTGTTCCAAAACTGAAAATTTAGATCCAATTGACCATTTTTAAAAGAATCGTTCAGACTTTCATCGAGTGAAAGAATATAATAAGGAGATTTTTTTATATTTTTAGTTAAAAGTCTGTAAAATTAAGGCCCATTACCAAAATTAATTATATAACCAAGTTTTGTTTCACTCATTTCATAAGATTTAGCAATATTGCTATCTGGGAACATTTTCTGGTAAAGTAGGTCATTTTCAGAGTAGATTTGTGTACAACTTTTATGACATTAATATACTGTTTGAAGTGCTTGCTTTATAGGTGTAGACTGTGCAGGCGAGATACTGGCTTTGACTTTTGTGCATGTTTTTTGCCATCCATGTAACTTATCATAACTCATCTGCATATTTAACAAATTAAATTCAACTTTTCATATTTTGCACTTGGCAGACTTATTTACACTGCCTATTACCAGCCATTTTTCAAATAAAGGATTGAGTTGCAAACATTGAATTAATGTAAACACAATATGATTAAGTTTCTTGTTAAATGTTAAATATTAACCCTGGTACCTTTAAATTGGTAAAATGTTAAACATTAACCCTGGTACCCTTGAAAAGTAAGATTTTTATTAGAAAAAATATCAAAACATTAAAAAAAAGTTAAAAAGTTCCCTGATTTTCCCTGATTTTTTCCTAAATCAATCATTTTCCCTCATTGTATCTAAATTTCCCTGATTTTCCCTGAATTCCCTGATTTACCTGATTTGGTGGCATCCCTCCCAGCTAGCACACATACGTTGGGCCAACGTCGGGCCAACGTCGAAAGCGTTTGACAATTTTAATAACTAAGTGCTGACGTCGGGCCAACGTCGGGCCAACGTCGAAATTCGACTCATTTTTTTGATTTTTAAATGCGTACAGTGTGTTACAGGTTTTAGCGTTAAAATATTTTTCGGCCATTTTTTAGAGTTTTTTTTTAAGCGACTTTTTATTAGAATATTTTATTAGTTGGAATTCTAAAATTCATGATTTTATAATTATATTATAGAATTTAATATCAGATCATTACAAAAACAAAATTAAAAAAATATGTTTTAATAAAAAAAATATATTGTGCCATGTTATATAAAATTTGTATACCATGTTATATAAAATTTGTATTTGTATGTATATAGTCTATATACATACAAATACAAACTTTATATAACATGGTATACAAATTTTATATAACATGGCACAGTATATTTTTTTATTAATATTTAGTTGTATATATGTATATAGTATACTATATTATAGTATACTATATACATATATATACAACTATATGTTATATATAGTTGTATATATATGTATACAACTATATATAACATATAGTTGTATATTATATATATCTTTATACAATATAGTATATGCATCTTTATCCAAATTTTATATAAATATACTAAAGTATAGTATATTTAAGTAGTAATATTACTATTAAATATTATTATAATATATTATATTACTACTTAAATATACTATACTATAGCATGTTTATATAAAATTTGTATAAAGATGCATTTATATATATATATATATATATATATATATATATATATATATATATATATATATATATATATATATATATATATAAATGCATGTTTATACAAATATATATATGTATATATAAATATATATATATATATATAATATATATAATATATATATATATATATATATATATATATATATATATATATATATATATATATATATATATATATATATATATATATATATATATATATATATTTAATAATTATTTTTTTAACAGTAGTTATGGCAGTTTTTATCAGATACTAATACTTATTTTTTTAACAGTAGTTATGGCAGTGCTCATCAGATAAAAGATGCAAGTTCAAAGATTTCTATCAAAATGTATAATGACGAGCATTAAAAAATTATTGTTGCTCTCAAGCGAAGTTGAAAGATTTGTAAAGTTGCTAAACAATTGAAAAGGACATTATAATGCTTAAATACGTGTATAGTTTTTAAGAGTATTTTAACATAATTAAAATGGTTGTTTACAACAAATTTTGATTTTCTCTATGGTTTAATAACTTAATTGGTTTAATAATTAGCGTTATTGAATAGTTTTTGTTTATCAGCGTCAAATTTTGTTCCAACTTATTTCGATATTAAATTTTAATGAACTAATATTCATTAAAATTTAATATCGAAACAAGTTTGAACAAAATTTGAACATAAACATTAGAAATAGTTGCGCCTTATTTAAAGTAATAGTTAAAAATAATAGGATGGATTTTGCTATTGTGCATTTTCAAACCGAAAATTCTGTTGCTGTTGTGCCATCAATTTGGATTGCAGGAGAATCCAACTTATGTTACTGGCCACCTTATCGTGCATCTAGATTAGAAACAGCAGTCAAAGAAAGAGAAAAATCAACAGTTAACTGGGAGTGCATTGATAATGTGCGCGTGTTGCATTTTTATGGTAGTTAGACTTTTTTTAAATATTTTATATGTTTTGGAAAATAAAACATTTTTGCTGTTTGAAGTTATTCTAACTTATATATATATCATGATTTTTGTTTTATTTTATAAATTTCTGAAGATAATTACCACAAAGCAAGGCTTAATTTATCTAAAGCAGAGCATGACACATCTGCATTAGAGTCTGAAAATGAAAGTTATATATATATATATATATATATATATAAATATATAATATATATATATATATTCATTTTGTTCAAGTATATTGAAAACTAATATTTATTAAGTAAAATATACAAATATTCGTATTACTAGAATCTTTTTTAAACGATGTTGGTGCAATTCCCTCACCTGCTTTCCCCCTCCAGTTACAGGCAAACAAAGGTAACCTTTTATTAAAATATTTAGAAGAATTATTTCAAAAGGTTTGAAACAGTTATTTATAAGCTTATATGAAAATACAGTTATATAAAATCTCTTATCTTTGATCAGTGACTCATTAATATTTTATATATTATAATAATTATAAATGTTTTTTGTTTTGTTTTAGATATAAATAGGAAAAGAAAATCTACTAGTACCATGGCTACTTCGAGTGATTTTTTTTTAAAAACATTAAACGTCCCGGCTTTAGTAGAAAAAGGTAAACTTTAAATATCTTCTGGAAAATATTTATTATTACTTTTTAATAAAAGATTAGCATTTCATAAATTACTTAGTAAGTTTAGATTTTTGTAAAAAATCAAAATTGTTTGTTAATGCAGCAGCCTGCAGCAGCAAAACACCTGGGTATAAAACTATATCAGCAGAAGCAAGCATGTGTTTTTGTTTTAATTTTTTATTTTATGGTTGATTGTGCAAATTTTCAAATAAGGTTTAATAAAATTATTGAAGACACTATTTATTGTATTCAGATTTTAGCTTAATGTCTTTTTTCTAACAATAGCTGTTTCAAATTCAGCACTAAAATTAGTTTTGGATAAACTTGCAACAATGCAGCAAGAAATTTTGCATATTTCGCAAGAGCAGCAAAATATGTTTAATGCTTTTCAAAAAATGGTTGCTGTAAAGAAGCGTGAACTTCCAGAGTGCATAGAATTACCAATTAAAACTTTACTAGAGCTCAAAAGTTTAGAAAAAAATCTAGATAACAAGGATTTAGCTCAAGCTGTTGTAAGGTTTCATTCACAAAAATTGATCTGAAGTATACATTTCTTATAAACTTTATGCACTTTTTTTATTCACATTTTTAGAGTAATCACTTGGGAATGAGAGGAGGGAAAGATGTCAGTGACACCACAAGACGCATTTTAGAAAAAGTTTTTAGTAATGATCTGGCTAAGAAACTTAATTGGGCAGGGCGATGTAATAAAACTGGAGTGAAAGATTTAAAAATCGTATCTTGTATAAAAGGTAAATAAGTGTATAGTGTATACTTTGTATGCTCTTTGATAAACCTGTATACATGTTATTTAACTTGTTTTGAACAGCTGCTGTGCAAATTAATAAGTCTTTTGACGCAAATGAAGTCAGTATTGAAAATGTTGTTAAATCATAGTTAAAGTATGCCGGGGATCGTGAAGGTGGAAGGGATGCTTCTGATAGAGTTAAATGGAAGGAATTGTCTATTTATCAAGATAATGTCATGGATAATGATGATGAAGGTGGTGATGATAACTGATTTGTATAACTACTTGCCTAATATAATTTAAATACTTGTTTGTTGAATGTATGATTTTCTTACAAAGAAAGACTTTTTTGACTGAAGTTAATTTTTGGAGTTTATTATATCGAAAATGAAGTAGTTTATATTATATTAATAATTCATGGTTAATAAAATAATTTTGTTAATCATGAGCTTAATTATTAATTATCTAATTATTGTTTATTTATTTTAATAAATAAATGGTTCTAGTTTTAAATCATTGATTATTATCTTATAATGAATGATTTAAAACCATATTTATACAGATTTGAATTTTAAGTCGTCCTTTAAGAACGTATTTACTTTTCTGGTGAAAGTCATTTAAAATGTGATGATAGGATTATGAAATTTTATTATATATATATATATATATATATATATATATATATATATATATATATATATATATATATATATATATATATATATAATATTGCATACTTTGGTTAGCGCTGTGATGCTATACTGATTTAGAGACATACATACATTGACTGATTTAAGGCGCACTTGCTTGTGAGTTGATAACACAAATCCAATATCTTTTAAGTTGTTGTTCATTGCAAAAAAGTTTTAAAGATTTTATTTTAAAGCATCTAAAGATTGAATCACGAGAAGAAGTGGTTATAACCGGGCAGATAAAGATTGAAGCACGAGAAAAAGTGGTAGTAGGTGAATCAAAAAAGATTGAAACGCGTGGAGGAGTGCTTTTAAAAATTCCATTAGTTATTTGTTGCACAGCAAAAGGTATTAGTAAAAACAGATGCAAAATACTTTGATTTAATTTTGACGTTTTCAAATCTTATTATCTTATCATAAATCAATATGCAATATAATAACTAAATTCCATGTTTTGCATACACATAGATATGCATATGTAAATCCATTGAATCCTTTTTTTTTGTCTGAATAATGTTATAGTTAATTTTGTCTATTTTATGTTTGTGTTACATAACTATATTTGTTAAATTTTTACTCAAATATTTATTTCAAAATCCAACCCTTGAAGAGTTATAATCAAATGAGTTTCTCAGGTGAAGTTTAAATACTATAGTATAAATATAATTTACATGAATCTTTTATTATATTGGAAAGGACCAATTGGTCCTCTATATGTTTGAATTAGTTCACGAAATGTTTCTAAATTGTCTGACAAGTTGTTGAGTTACGTTGCATATATTCCATATGAGTTTGCAAGAAAACCAAGAGCTTTAAGTGAGATAATACGATGGAAAGCAACTGAATTTAGATTGTTTTTGTTGTATTTAGGTCCATTTGCACTAGATGGAGTTCTACCAACAAATTTGCTTGATCATTTTTTGTTGTTGTTTGTTGCATCTAGGATTCTTACTAGTTCTGAGCTCTCAAAGAACTACAAAGATTTTGCAAACAATTTATTAGTTGATTTTGTCAATAAGGCTGCTAATCTTTATGGACAAGAGTGTCTAGTATATAATGTGCATTCATTAGTTCATATAGCACAAGATGTAAAATATTTAGGACCATTAGATGAGTTTAGTATTTTTCCATATGAAAATATGCTTGGTCAAATAAAAAAACTAATTCGAAAACCTCAAACCCCCATCCAACAATTACTGCGTCGACTTGAAGAAAAACAAAATTTCCACAATGAACGGGAAGATATAAAAAGGACATTTCCTATCTTAACAAACGAACATTTTGAAGGAATTCTTATAAATACCGAAGAATTTAATGTAAGACAATATTTACAGCTTCAAACAGAGCGTTGGTATTTTAAAACATCTGAAGGTAACAACTGTTTTCTTGCAAAAGATGGAAGTGTCAATCTTATTCGGAATAATACTAAAAAAGGAAGTGATATAAATTTAATATGTCAAAGCTTTAACACTATTTCTGATGCTTTCTCTTTTCCATTGCCTTCTTCAAGACTAAATATTTGTAAAGTACTTAAAAACAAATTTGCTTTGTTGAAAAGTTGCCAGGTAACCGATATTGTTAGTAAATGCATGTGTTTACCTTACTCAGAAGAATTCTTCATTATTATTCCTGTACTGCATTGATTTAATGTATGTTATTTTTTTCTAGGTTATTTCATACTCAAATTGATCATTTTTTCAGTGATATTAAGATAATAATTGGTTTTGTAATTTTTACTTTTTAAGTAAGTATATATATATATTTTTTTTATTAACTTAAAATATATATATATATATATATATATTTATATATATATATATATATATATATATATATATATATATATATATATATATATATATATATATATATATATATATATATATATAAATAAGATAAAAAGGCTGCAAAGCCTTTAGGTCAACTTTTAAGTAATTAATACATTCCCTCTTAACTCTTGGTTTTCTTTCTTTTTTCGACAGCTGTTAGAAAATGAAAACCCAAAATCAAATGGGAGTGTAATAATAATTACACGCCTTTTGTGGCGTTTTTTTATATAAGTTTATTTCTTTTAATTTTTACTTAAAGATTAATTTTATATATTGTTTTAGACAATACTTACAACACATCGTATAAAGACGAGCATTTGAATGCTCGATTTTCTCTGAAGAGAAGTAAAGAATATTTGCAAGGAAAATGGCTACGAAGTCGAAGAACGTTATTATGTTAAAATATATTGCTTTTTTGATCAGCATTAATGTTTGATCTTTGTTTATCAAAGTTTATGCAAACTTATATAGAGAGAAAAAAATTATTATTGCAACAGTTTTAATAAATGTCACAAACGCACTCGTTACTTTTTTGAAACAAAACTTTAATATTAGGTCTGGCAAACGGTAATATATATATATGTATATATATATATATATACACATATATATATATATATATATATATATATATATATATATATATATATATATATATATATATATATATATATATATATATATATATATATATATATATATATATATATATATATATATATATATATAGAGAGAGAGAGAGAGAGAGAGAGAGAGAGAGCGAGAGAGAGATATAGATATTATAGTATGTCTCTATTGTGTGTTTTTATTTTTCATTATTTATTTACATGTCGCTACTGATTTGGCAATAACTCGTATTTGACACTTTTTTTAAAATTGACGTTTTGGTATCAAATGGTTTTTGGTCAAAAATGAATAACCACAAAAATTAATAAAATTTGTTATATAATAGAATTTTTATTCAAAGGAATAGTTGCTTTTTATTTGAAGAAATAGTTGCACTTTAGTTAAAGAAATAGTTTTAATTTGTTTGCAGAAACTTTGTTTTTGGTTCAAAAGGTGCGCTCATCTTATGAATCAAAAACAAAGTTTTTGCAAACAAATTTAAACTTTCATTATTAAAATATTACATTGGGCCAACGTCAGAATTCGACGCTCGCCCAACGTCGTAATCCGACGTTGGACCAACGTTGGCCCAACGGTCGGTTTCGACGTCGCGCCGACTACCAAAATGACGTCGGATCGGTTATCGACCATCGGCCAACCAATTTTTTGACGTCGGCCCGACGTTGGCCCAACGTAAGCGTGCTAGCTGGGCTGCTATTATTAATTATCTATTTTGTTTTTTTAATATATCTATTAATATATCTATCTAACTTTTATAAATATTTTTTTCAGTCTTGACTTAAAGGAAATCTTATTTTTCTTAATGTTAATTTAAGTGAATATTTTATGCCGTAAATAGTCATTTTTGGTTTTTACATGCAACTTTGAGACAAATTTAACGCAATTTTCTTTCAGGTACGGCTTTTTGGTTTATTTTGATCTGTTGTGTACTTTAATAATATTATGTAAACTGTTTTGTTCGTCAATATACGATAGGCAGAAGCATCAATATAGCATAAACTCCCAGATTTCAAATAGGTCTCTATAATAGCCACTCATTTAACCAAATAAGAGCCACGGCTCTTATTTGTAATATCGTATTATTACGTGGCTATTATTAGGAAAATAGTTTAATTTATTGTGTAATTTATAGTTTAAATACAAATTGTGTCACAATAAATTAAACTTATATGTCTTTATTATAAAAGTCCTAATAACTTATTTGTCCTAATTGTATCCTTATTATAATTATACTTAGTGTTTATACATGGTAAAGTAAATGCTGATTATAGTTAATATAAGCCTTATATTAAGGCTTATATTAACTATAATCAGTATTTACTTTACCATGTATAAATACCAAATATAATTAGTATTTACTTTACAGTATTATTATAACGGTTTATTATGTTTGTAAATATTTAAAGTAATGGTTTGTATTTTATAATTTATATAATACATATAAACAAAAATTATTATTGTTAGTATTTACTTTTGTATATTTAATTAAATGTTCACTAAAAATTATGTATATTAAGTATTATGTTAAATTTCACCATAGTACTTATGTATGCTATTTCTGTTACATTGATTTATAGATATGTATAATAAGCATACTTTATGCTTGTATATGTATTTGTTTGTGGTATCTGAATATAACCTTACAAAAATCTAATGTAAATATACTCATTCTTTTAGTTAATTTGAGTAATTATGGGAAAAACTACGAAAATCACAAAAAAGAATAACAAGATTAAAAAGAAAACTGGCTTTATTTTTAATTCAAAGTTGAATCAGAAAGTGAAAAATTTAAAGAGCTTTCAGTGGTCCAACAGCAACATGAAGAATGCAATTGCAGCTGTTCAAAATACTTTAATGTCGCAACGAGAAGCTGCAACACAATATAGTATTCCTCAATCAACCCTTGGTAAATATTTTGAAGGCGATTCAGTTCTTGGTGTCAAACCCGGACCTAGTCCAATATTATCAATAAATTTAGAGCTAAAGTTAGTTGAATATGCCTCAACAAGAGCTGCACTTGAATTTTGATTTGGAAAAAGACAATTTAAAAAATAGGCTTCAGATTTAGCCACAAAGCACAATTTAATATTTAAACATTCAAGTCCTTCAGAAAAATGGTGGCGCTCATTTAATCAGCGACATAAAAATTTAGTTTTGCGAAAGCCTGAAAGCCTGGTACAAAACACCTTCAATCTCGCATATCTGGAAAA